TTAGGATATGAAAATTTATTTCCAATTGTTTATCATTTCTGTCAAAACATGGTAGTGAATATAATGAAATTTTATAATTGAATTAGTTAAGTACCTAAGAATGGACTCTGATCTAGCTATGAGTACCCAGCCATAAGATGACTTATCTCATTTCATCTGTGACTCACATCTTCTTCCACTTTACAGTAATATTTACACTGTAATCAATACAAAACTATTTTCAGTTATTCCCTATATAGTTGGTAGGTTATATAAAGGGACATGCCACTGATAACACTTTTACGCGGTAAGGCTGGGGTAATGGTGTGGTTAACACACCAACAGATTAATAATTTTGCTATTTAAAACCTGATTCAAATTAATCATTAATTTTTTAAAAGAGACATTTATGCATCCTTGAAAGATTATTTAAAGTATCACTGATATTGGTTAAGTAAATTTGGGGATCACGGTGGCTAAGTGGGTAAGACGCTGGCTCGCGAGCCTGGAAGTCAGGTGTTCAATCCCTGCATTGGCCGAGAAAGTTCATCCAGATTTTCCGATGTGGTTCTCCCTTGTCAGTGATGCGGATCATGGGGCCTGACAAGGACAGCTGTCTAGCCGTTCGGATGGGATGAAAAACCGAGGTCCCCTATACACATGGGCGTACACGCAAAAGATCCCATGACAGTTGGAATTCGATATAAGAGTAGGCCGTAGTGCCGCTGTCGATTTCCCTCATAGCACACTGTATGGCATATGACCGTCTTCATTAGCCCAGTTCGAAGCAAAACAGGAGAACGTTAAACCCCATTTCATTTCATTTCATTTCATTTCATTTTGGTTAAGTAAATTCAGTGAAATTGTTATGTGAGTTTATTATCCCATAAAACTAATTGGCAATGTGATAGTCAGGACTTTAGAGGTGACACTTCCAAAAAACATCACCAGCATTTAGTTGGAAATAAGATGTTACTTCATATTGATATATATGATTGATCAAATGAAATCAACAGTTTTATTATTGACCCATATCAAAGAGCTACATGTAGTTACAATGTATTTTAATCAAAAACATTTGTTACATGTACATTACCGTATTTTACGGGGTAAAAGTTGATGTGGAGTATAAGTCGAATCGTTATATTTTACTGTTTTTCCGACCTCCATCCATATATACCGTAAGTCGAAGCGATATTATAAGACAAATGTTTTTCAACCCCACAGTAGCAATCTATTATCAAATTTCAGGACCGTTATCCTCTAATACCGTTTTGGTGTACGCCAAGAAAAATTGGCCAATAATATTAATGTAAAATAATCAGTTTATAAATGTAGGATTTAAACTTGATTAATATTCCAAGTTGTGGTCCTGGTTTATTTGAACCAGTTTTTATTTCAATATATGCGATAAATATAAGACAATGCAGACTTAGTTTCTACTCAAACGTGGTTGTAAAGTACATTACTAAAAATAGAATAAAACAACGCAGTATAGTATGATTGGTTAATTTTAAGTAACTGAAAACTAAAAGTAGAAATCTCGCGAGATGCATGAAATTACGAGAAATGGAAACGTGCCAATTTTGACGATGGAAACGTGCCAATTTTGACGAATGTTGAAGAAAAGATTCTATGGAGATGGCAAATTCTTGCAATGATAATATTTTGAAGGGGGGGGGGTATGGTTTTAAATAAAGAAATTATGCTAAGAAATGTCTACAAATATTTCGATTGGGATAGTGTAATAAGTAGATTTGTTTTAGACGATAGTACATGCAGCATCATGGAGCGACGATTACTGAAGGAAATTATTTTCGAGGTGTCATCTTGTTTTACCTTCATCCGTAAAGACAAAGGCCGAACAAAGGCCAGACTTCAGCAGAAAAAGTATCCACTTATACCCCGAAAAATATGGTAATTACAATTTTTCCCACACGGTAATTCCAGTCTCAAAACAAAATGTGCACTTGGCAAAATGTCTCTTTAAAAAAAGATAAATTTGCTTTCTACACTAAGGGTTACTTTTGTATTAATCAAAATTTCATCAATGGATCTGTTCATGAGAAGCCAGTTTATATACTCCATTATGAGAGGTTTCTGTTTCTATCCCGTCCACTGTCCACAATCCACAATATCGTTAGATCTAATGTATGGACTCCTTTTTTTATCCAAATGTATTGAAATATGTGTAGATCAGTTCAAACAAGGCATGTTTAAGTGAATGTAGATATTACTTAGATTTAGTAAATTCTTCAGAGATTTGGATTTACAGTGTATAAATAGTGAAGTGTTGTAATACTATGGGATTGATTACTGGTGTTGATTTTCTATGTGTTGTGTTTTTGTCTCCAGTTTAAATCCTTTCACTATGTAGACCAATTCTTCGATCAATTTGGGTGTAGCCAGTTTAATGGCACAGATGATGATTTAATCAAATGATTGGAGAAATGTTATTTTCTTTTCTGATATTTTCAAGACTTGTGAAATATTTACATCAATTTGGGTGTGGCTGTTCTCAGTAAGTTATAAGGAGTATAATATGTTGATGAAGTGATGACATCAAGGTAGGATGTTTTATGCCAAAGTAATTGGTGTTTATTTGTAGCGATGATTACCTACTAGTGATTTGCAAATTGGATATATACCTGATTTTTAAGTTTTACAAGTTTTTTTTTTCTTTTTCTTAAAAAAAAGAATAGAGTCACCTGTCCAATCTCGTGGGTTTTCTTCAGGTCCTCCGGTTTCCTACCACTGATAAAGACCACTATGCGCAAGTGAATTATTGAAATAAGGCTGAACCACATACATGTGTTAGTCCTAAGGTGCCCTTAGACAGTGGACTCGAAACTAGAATTTTAATTATTACTCAGTTGAGAAGAATCTCCATATGGGTGTATGGGTGTAAGGATATAGGTGTATGCCTGTTGACAAGGAAATTGTGTCTAGTTGTTCAAATATGATAGTGATAAGATGACAGAAATGTTGGATTGAAAAACGTCCAATTCCTTTCCCTAAATCAATTTTATCCATTGATAATATTTTTTTTGTACTTTTTCATATAAGTTTGATTGAGGACTTTATAGGCATTATGCAAAAGCTACATGTAAATCTGCCTATTGCAGGTCTTTCTTTAGGCCTTAAATGTTATATAAATATAAAATATTAATTAGATATTCGTTAACTTACCAAGACCATGATCAACTCTCGATGTCATTGGATTGTTCCAATATTAGATTTTATTATTGTAACAAGTAACAATGACAATCAAGGCTAGACTATAATTGTATCGCGGATAGCTAAGCTCACAGTGAAGTAATTTGACTAAAATTTTCAACATATTCCCATTTCATTATCCATTTTTTAACTATTATAGTGAGAACTGTCAGCTCTTTTATTTAATCTTACCTATTGTCACTTTAATAAGAGGATCCCTTGATTGATTGAATTGTCTTCCAGTGTGCTTTCCATGTGTTTGGAAATATGTGTAGTAAATTGTCAGTGTTTTTATTTGATAGAAGTGAAGTTGTCCAGTCAGCTTTACAGAATGTTGTATCAATTTATTCAATGGTGTAGACTAAACATATACTGTAATAGAATAATAAAGGTTACCTTTATATGTATGCATTTTTTAATGACTACATTATGTATATAGTAGGCTATTTATATTGACTCACTGGATTTCTCTATAAGATGATTAATACACAGTTACAATACTTTTAAGAGGGTAGACTATTTTATACTAATATGGTCAACCATGGATTAGGTATGTCAGTGGAAATGTAAGGTTTGATGGTTATCTAATGTCTTAAAGATAAGTAATTTAGTGAACTAATCTTGTTATAGATTAGTTTTATTATATTCATAGCATACAAGTTAGTGTTATATAGTATAGTAGGTGGACAGAAGTCTTTGAAAGTTGTTTAAAATCAATAATATTTTTCTTCTTACTTGTTAGCTGAATTAGAGCACACATTGTAGATTAGATTGTCATATAACGTATTTCTGGATTGATTTCGTATAAAGTTTTGCAACATATTGTACAGTAGGAATTGGAATATTTTGTTTGGTTTTTTTTTGGTCGAGAAAGTTCTCATTTTTTATATTTCTTTGGTTGTCTGAGGGATTTTGTAATGTTTTTAGTAATACCATACGTCCGATACATGTTGTGATAATATTTTTTGAAGAATATCTTATTGTGTGGATTTTGTATCTTTACTTTAGGTAATACCCAGAAAGCTGTGCTTATAAATATTATACAGCGAAATACATGTATGATCTTTAAGAGATGTGGAATTTCATAAACTATTTAAACTAATGGAATTATAACACTATAATATGAAATTCTGTTTTATGTGCAAAAAGTGATACCAGTTTGGAATCCAAAATGTTTTGTTGTTTAAAATCGCGTAAATATTCTCCAGAAACGCAGGATAATTCATCAGATAAAAATGGTTTGCGAAACGGAAATGTGTCGATTTCGGAGCCAATGCCACTCGAGGCTAAAGATGGAGGAGAGGAAGTGGACATGATTTATGAAAATCAGAACCAAGTTTCAAATACAAACTTAGAACAATTAGCCGAACTTTCGATAAAATCTATAACTAGCAGCGACAAACAAAACTTGAATAAAGTCTCATGTATCGAAGCACAAAAAGAAAGTGGCAAACAAGATAAAATTGAAAGTAGTGTTGCTACTGAAAAAGAAAGTAGCGTGCATAATGAAAACAAAAGTTGTGAACAGGGAACTAATGATAATAGTGTAACTCCGTGTGTAAATAATGATAACTCTGATAGTAAATCATACGAAAATATTGATACCAAAGCTAAAAATAGCACTTCCAAAACAGAAAGTAATGAAAAAACGGGAAATGAATTCGAAGGTACATTTAAAGGAAAAAACGAAAGTAGTGATGATCCAACAAGTGTTTATGAAAATTACAATATAGCCAATAATACTCTTAAAGTAGAGCATAATTCTTCTTCGCTTTCACAAACTCCATCTTCTTTTTTACAAACAGCTAATCAGCTTCCTGATTTGTCTGAACAAGGTTTAACCAGTCAGATTCCAGAAACTAAAGAACAGTTAGAAAGTCAGCTTGAATCGGCACGGCAGGAAGTAGCAACCACTATACAGGAAGTGGAAGACTTTGAATTTGACGAAATGTCTCAAGAATTATTGAATAATGCTGTGTCGCGGCTTGAATCTGTTGCAGCACGTTTAGAATCATTGTCAAGGAATGTTGGTGTAGGTGGCGGTAGTAGTAGTAGTGGTCCCGCTGAAGCAGGTTTGTTGCAATATGTCTGGTTATTAATTACAAATAGAATTTACTGTGTGTTATTAATGAATAGGCAGGTTTCATTATGTTTATTTGTTGACTGATCCTTGCATATATCACACATGCTTATTATGACTATAAACTATTACCAACAAAGAGTTGTACACATGAATTCTTAGGCTGCGACTTATTTTGTACAAGAACATATGTATTCTTTCTGTTTAAAAATGCTTATCTCATTCACTTGCTTCTCTTCTTTTAGTCTAAATAGAAAGCTTTTAGGTTCTATCTAGAAACGGGGGGTTGGATGGCCGAATGTTTAGCATGTGCTCACTGTATCATAAGATCTGTCATTGAGATCAACTAGCGTGGTTTCGATTCTCCAGTTGTACGTGACAAGGAGTAGGGTCGTCTGTTTCTCTCTCTCTATCCAGAAAAGCATTATTTGAATAATGTTAGCCTGGTGGAGAGGCAGCCTTTTTTGTGTTACATATGTAGCACTACATTACCACTACAAGTAGAGCATAACTGCTATACCATATATATTTATTGCATAATGATACTGACATTAATTTAGTTATTTATGAATTCTTATTTTCACAGTTGAAACTGGACCAACAGTGATGGCCTATGATGAAATTATTAACGGACCATTGGCCAATTTTATTGCTTTATCTAAGAAAATGGATGCTGGTGTACAGGAAATGGTAGGTAATTATTCTTTCAACAGGGCTCAATGGATAGGACACCCCCAGTAGAATATCACAGTTTGATTACAGGCATGAACCAAGTGGAACCTTCTAGCCCATGTCTGAGATGAAATGCCTGTGGAACTGAAGTTAAAGTTATTAAATAAACAAATTATTGCTGTTCAGACACAATTCTATTCCTCCAAATACACATAGGAATAGTAAGAAAAACAGTTGACAAGAGGGAACATTTTAATCTGGAATTTGTCAGTTAAATCAGAGTGCCTTGCTGAAATGAAATTAGGTTTGATGTCCTACTGCAATTATTGGGGATCATTTTATTGACTATATACATGCATCACTATAAGATGTTACCATTTTTCTGATCTAATTCTAATGATTACTAATGATTATTGGTTATCAAATCAGTCCTTATCTGCGGCTTGATTCAGTTTACAGATACACAAGGTTAGCTGATTGGTTCCCCCTGTTAATATCATCTATACCCCTCTGAAAGATCAAACTTTATGCTTTGGTTAAAATCACTGTTAATAATCAATAACATTGAATGTTTTTTGGGTTAATCTTGTAAGTCAATCATTAAAATCACTATTAATAACATTGATTATTTTTCAGGTAAATCTTGTAAGTCAATCGTTCCAAAAGGAACGTGATATCATTGTTACTGCTGCACAATCACAGAAACCATCTATGGTAAGTTCATATTGTTAAAGATGCATTATGTAAGAGCTAAATCTGCCGATTGCAGATCTTGCTTTTGGCTTCAAATGTTATATAAAAAATTATTTAGACATTTATGAATATGACAAACCTATAATCAACTCTCAAGGCAGAGATTTAAATAGATTAGAATGCCTGCGAGATTAACAAATTTAATGAGTCAAACCGAGATAATTCTATCAATATTCAAAATTTTATCAAATATTTGTTGGAGAATCACAAGCTTTTAAAATCACTGCCACTTATTGGCAGAGTACTGTCACTTTGATATTAAAACTGCAATATTAAGTAAAATGGAAATAATTTCAGTGCATTTTAAACATAGCATGTCTTGAAGACATTGCTATTCTATTTTACTATGGTCAAGTGACTGCCCTTTTCTTTTAATACTTAAAGTGATATAGTTTTCACTGGAGATTGCTATCTCCATCAGACTTTAAATTTGACACATAATAAATCTTTGACATTAAAGCAGACTGTCTAGGTACATGATGAGTGAATTGTAAAAATCATCAAATATGTTTCTACCATGTCATTATTCGCTCTATATATTAGGAAAACAATGGAGAAGCTTTTTGATGATTGCACCAGATTTGTTCATGTCAAATCAAGGTTTAAAGGAACATTCTCAAGCTTAAACTAAAGAAGATTCCTCCACTATGTTCAAGTTCTAGTTTAATTTTTTTCTGTAAAAAAAAATTTGACTGTTAATATTGACCAGCCTTGGTTCTAACATCAATTTAACCTCTTATTGAATATTTAATAAATATTATGGTAACAAGTAAACACAGTAACCAGTAACATGGAAAATATATTTAACTGAGGCAAAGTAGGCCTTTTATGTCTAAATTATGTTACATTATTTTTGTGCGATTATCAAATTCAGCTGCAGATACCTAGTCTGAAACCGATTCTCAATCAGTAGATATTATAAAGAAATGTGACACAAATGCTGTCAAAGAAAGGCAAGACCAAGTCCACATTCCGTCAACCACTCTCAATACTTACTAATTCTCACTAGTTAAACAATCAAGTCATTTATTAAAAAGTGTTAGACTCAATTTGTAGGAGCTCGTTCTTTATTAAGGGTAGGAAACTGGAGCATCCTAGAAAATCTATAGCTATTATGATTTATAATCATGCAATCAAAATATGTGTTTGCAGAGCCATGATCTGCAGCAAACCACCTTAAACTATTCGATCGTCCAACTCTTCTGTTTAAGCACCCCGATAGTGTTTCCTTGTCAAAGGTGACTTTGAGCGGTTATTCACTCCCTTTAATAACAGATGTTTGATTATTCAATATATTTAATGATTTAGACAAACGTTCATTTAAACACAAGAAAGTTTAGAATAATACTATAACGGAAACAGACAAATTACGTTGTTACATGTCCACAAAATGATGGATTACTTTGATATAATGAGTTTTTAAATATTTTGGCGTATGTTTTAGTAAATAATATGGCTACTGGCAATTAACAGTTCACATTCAGTCGATAAGTAAAAATGATTCTAAAATAATTAGCAGTGAGCTTTTTTCTATTAATGTTTGTTGAGTGATTTCGAGCGTCATTGCCTCCATGACAGACGTGTTAATGCAAACTATTTAACAGAAATATTCCAACTTTTTAACATACAAAAAGTTCCTTAAAAGTGAATTTTTGTCGTTGAAATAAACATTAGATACTTGTTTTAGCCAAAATAAATGATGGAAAAGACGCTGCTGTATTTTTAGTGGATAGTTTATAGTTTTTTAAGTAACTTTGCCAAGTTGTAATAACTTGGTTTTACTGAAAAAGGTGAAACCACCCTGTGTATGTTTCAAATATTTTGGACAAATTGTGTATTAATTTGTTCAGTGTCTAAATAGAATTGAGTGTCGTGTCTGACACACAAATATCTGCCATCTTTACTCACAAAAAATTCAAATGCCAAAGGGAATAAGAACTGTTAGCTTCTTCTGGTTATCATAATTGAATGAATAGGTTACCGAGTGTGCCAGAATAAAAGTCAAATAAGCATATATTCGAAACAGGAGCCATGAGTGGTTTAGTGCGTAAATTCTGCTCAATGACCAGGGGGTTCTGGGTTCAATGCTTGTGTGGGCCAAGGAAGTTCCTTGAAGTATTCTTGCTTTGTTTTTCCTTGTCAGTGGTGTGGAATTGGACGAACAAATACAAGGTCCAATAAACATGTTGGCGTGCACGTTAAAGAACCCTTGCCAATTAGAATTTGATGAATAGTAGTATGGGGAAACACCACTGTCAGGGGCTAAACTTCCCTCATAGCATATTGCATGGCATATACCCATCTTCATAAGACTGGTTGGCGTCTTAATTTCAAATATTAGAATCTGTATAGACAATAAATACTCTATAAAAGGTTCTACAAAAGGTACCAAATGTTAATCCATTTAAATTTAATGTGATGACTTGTTTTAATTAAACAAATATAACAAGAATTTTAAGAAATATATTTGTATTTTTACAGGAAGTAATGGTAGAAATATTTAAACCACTGACCACACAAGTAACTGCTGTACAGGTACGCTACTTTTTGTCTGTTACAAGTTCCATAACCTGAGTACAGAAGTAACAAAATGTGCATGATTCACTGAATACTACAGTGCACTATGTCACATCCGACCTCTGATCACTCCGGCACTCTGTTACATCCGACACCATTTTCATGTGCCGATTTATTTCCTTAGTACTTCAGCCAAAACATCTCTGGATAATTCCGTACGATGTCAGATGTGACAGAGTGCACTGTATTAGTAAAGAAATGTATTAAAGGAAAATAATTTCCTCGATCAGGTTATGCAAATGGATTTTAAAACAAATTAAATGGACTAATAGTTCACTGTTTACCAAAGAAAATGCATTCGTATGATTATAAAGTTCCCATTATTGTTTTATTTCAACAGAGACTCACGTCCAACATGCACAGACATAGTTTTTCATAATTTTACTGTATACAGATCTCAGGCAACTCCTAAAACAGTGGACCATAATTGGACCATTGAATTCTGTAAGCTTAAGATTATTATTATTTGAATATTTTCAGTCATATCGTGAAGCTAATAGAAGTAACAGAGCAATTGAGAACCATCTGGCTTGTTTAAGTGAATCTATTGGTGCTTTAGGATGGGTTGGAGTGGTGAGTATTAACTAGTTTGGGGGGGGGGGGATGGCCGAATGGTTAGTGCTGTATCATAAGGTCTGTCATTGAGTCAACTGGCGGGGTTTCGATTCCCCGGTTGTACGTGACACGGAGTAGGGTCGCCTGTCCAATCTCGTGGGTTTTCTCCGGGTCCTCCGGTTTCCTCCCACTGCTAAGACCCCTACGCGCAAGCGAATTATTGAAATAAAATTGAACCATGTGTTAGTCCCGAAATGACCTAGTTTGTGTCGAGTGGACGTTAAACCCCATTTCTCTCTCTCTCTTTTACTAGTTTGACTGCAGGATGGATTTACCCAAAAAATTGATTTCTTGTCTCATGAATTCCATTTAGTCAGCAATCAGATATGCTAGGATAATGGAAATTGTTAATGTCTAGTATTGTTCATAGCCAGGGGGGTTGAATGGCCGAATGGTTTGCACATGCGCGCTGTATCATTCAGTCTGTCATTGAGTCAACTGCATGGGTTCCACGTCGGCCGTATATGCCGGTCGAGACCTACGGCTATGGAAAATGACCGTTCCTAGATCTGACCTAAAGGTCATTTTGCACGGCGGAAAGAGGCTCTTTTTTTAAAAAAAGAAACAATTTCAAACATGACTACGATCGACCTTCACTGTCTAACTATACAAGAATGCACGTCGTCTAGAAGCCAACCTCGTGATTGGTGTTATAGAGTTGTATATATAGTTGTCAACAGATTATACTGAGTGTTGTGTTGATAATTAATGATGAGTGTCTGGTAGTAGAGCAATAAATGTTAATTGATAAGTGGGAATCTAATCAACGGCGTGAAGCGGCCCATTGTTAATATGAAGTATTGCTCTCCGAATCCAACCAACTGTCATATCAAATAAAAACAGCATAGAAATTACGTAAATCCTCAACAACGTACGTGTTGGAAGAAAAATGCATTTAAAAATAAAATGTTTATAGCGGTATTACGGCCTTGTGGAAATTGTTGAAATAAAATCTAGAGATTAGTTAACTTGCTTACCGAACATTTAAGAAAAATACGTATTCCAGTTCTATTGTGCAGCAATATTGATAATTCCATGTGTAGAAGAAATGTCGTGTATATACGGTTACTCTTATACACGGCCATATTCTAGGGGGCGCTAGTGTCGCTAGCCGTGAAGTTAGTTATCCGTTAGTCATTTAGTTATACATTATTAGGATTTACGCCACAATTCTGTGGCCCGTAATTCCGTAAGAGATGGTCTAAAACCCAAAAAAATGTGAGATATATGCCATGGATAATTATATATTTATCTTCATTTCAAAGTTATTGTATTACAACTCAAAATTATCCAAGTCAGTGTGTTTTCTATAGAGCACGTGTTAATTACGTGTGAGCTACTGAAATGGTTTTTCTCCGGCCAATTCAACTATTTCGTTATTTAAGTAGCTGAAACGGAATATTTAATTATTAAATAATTATCATGAGCCTTACTAATATTTCATTTTTAAGTCAAATATATTTTTTTTGTGCACCCCATGGTGACAAAGTAGTATATACACGTTAATTCACAATACCCTACCATGAATAAAAAACATGAAATATAAATTTACTTTGAAAAGTTTTCGTGAATGACCGGCAGTGAAAATTTTGAAGTGGAAGCCCTGGTCAACTGGCTGGTTTACAATTCCCCTGTTGTATGTGACAAGGAGTAGGGTCGCCTGTCCAACCTCGTGGGTTTTCTCCAGGTTTTTCTCTGGGTCCTCTGGTTTCCTCCCACTGCTAAAGACCCATACTCGCAAGCAAATTATTGAAATAAAATTGAACCATGTGTTAGTCCCGAAATGACCTAGTTTGTGTCGAGTGGACGTTTAACCCCATTTCTCTCTCTCTCTCTCTCTCTCTCTCTCTCTCTCTCTCTCTCTCTCTCTCTCTCTCTCTCTCTCTCTGGGGGTTGGATGGCCGAATGGACATATACTGTCTGGGCCCCCTACCAATCTCAATTTGTTGTTATGAGGCCAAAATGTAATTCTATGATTAAAGTCTGTGCTAACTATTGTGAGGCGCATAAATGGTCTGTTTTAATGTCCTTTTGACCGTAAAATTGACATTATTTTTTATTTTAGTCACCAGCACCTGTACCTTATATAAAAGAAATGCAGGATAGTGGAATATTTTACAGTAACAGAATACTGAAGGAGTTCAAAGAAAAGTAAGAATATATGGAAAATTAATAAAGTCAGGACCAAATGCATAAAAATTTCAATAAACTTTACTGGTCTACATACAATTTAAAGTATTAAGTAGTTACACCATGATTCAACTTTAACAAAGGAAATAATCAAAGATGATTTCTTACTGACTGATTGCCTTCCATTTTTGGGGTACTCTGCATTGTAACTGTACATCTTCTGCCCTTACATGCTTATTCTTTGTTGTGCTGTGTTCTTTGAAATCCCGCTTTAGTCATAATTGACATCCGTGCTTTGCAGGATAGGATTCTTCTTTTAATTTTTATTTATTGTGAGCTTATTAATTTAACTTTTTGAGAATGTAATTCAGGTTTTTTTTAACCTGTAAAAATAGGTTGCAATACATCTAGACATAACTAATCTTAGTTCTCCATAATGGTTTGCAATGTTTTCATAATGTTGAAATATGTTCTAAAAATTATATATGGAGTGAGTTAAATAGTTCTGCCTTTCTGTCTTCTTTAATGTACAAATACGGACCAGAAACTAATACTATTTTTTTTATTTAGAGATTCTACACATAAACCTAATCAAAGAACTATCAGGAATTTTGATTGTCTACCATTTTGTAATCTGGAGTTTAAAATGGTGTGGCAGATGTTCACTTTAAATTGTTGATTTCCTGTTCATTTGACTATAATGTAAACTAAGAATAATAAGACTTTAAATTTTCCTTTCAAATCTTTTTAATTTATGAGATTTTAAAACGATAGAAATAGATGTAAAAGATAAACTGTTTACAATTAAGATAAAGTTACTTTTTTCTCAAGAGCCTGTTCAGCATGAGAATAAATAAAATAGGCAAACCACAAAAAAAAGTTTGCTCAGATAAATGATTTTTAAAAATATAATTGATAGGCCAACCTCAAAACCTATTCATAACTCAAACTGACCCTTAAAAATAGAATAGATGAAAGATCAGCCACAATTATGCTTGTTCCATTGAAATGGCTTTGTTGTGTTGATTAACGATAAACCCCAGTTCTCTTTGAGAAATGAGATAATTGATAGCACTAAATTAGTCTTGATCATTCCAGCCTCAACTGCCCCTGAATCAACCAGTTAACAATGCATTCTGCTTATTTCAAATACAAGATGTAGGTCTTTATAAACCAATCACCTGGCTCTTTTTTAAAGATTAATATTTGTCATAGTCAAAACAGAGTTAATTTGGGCTGGAATGATCAAGACTACTACACTGAATATGTTTCATGCTGCAATCTCTCGCTATACATTGTATGCCGAAATACAATTTGTTAAACCTCTTTAGACAATGCCAGATTTCCTCTTACATCTCTTTCGTTGCTGAATATTGAAGATTTCTTTTGAAATGTCACTGCAACATGTAATCTATTATTCACAAAATGTGATTAGGTACTAAATTTAAAGAATAATTTCTCTTAAAGCCTTTTCTTTGCTAATAAACTAATGATTTTAAGCTAATGAAGTTTTTGTTTTATAAAACTTGTTTATTTTGTAGAGATCCATCTCAAGCTGAATGGGTGAAAGCATGGAATCAAACTTTAGTAGCATTACAAGCTTATGTTAAACAACACCATACTACTGGTTTAACATGGAATCCTAAGGTATGTAGACCTATAATTCCTTTTGTTGGCCCCACTGCCAGTGATAAACACCATTATACTACTACTAGAGTCCTAATGCAGAATTCTAAACTTATATAGATTTAAACTTAAAAATAAGTAAACATAATATTTGTGTGATTTGTCCATGTGATCAAATGTAAAAATAACATTGCATTGCTTTGTGGATGAACATAGCATAACTATGAATTACATGACAAAGTAATTGAAATTTCTTAAGTTGATATAGTTGAGCAATGTATGCACCTTTCGTAACACTACAGATTTAAGACCACCAGAAGAAAAAAAAGAAAACATCTTGTTGGATTACACAAACGCCAACGCCACACTTTCAAATTTTATCACAGGCGCTTCAATAAATAATGGAATTGTTTCCTGAACATTGAACAATTAACCTGGTTTAAGAGTTTCAAGTTTTATACTTGTAAGCCAGATTGTGTGAGGTCTTCAACTGGGAAATTAAAGTCTTATCTCGTTGGTCATTCAGTTTGTATTTTAGTCATTTGATTGATCCAAAATGTATGTCAGGCCAGCAGTAAATAAATTGTCCAATTAACTGTATCAAGGCATTCTTATCAGAATTGGTAGCCAATAAAACAGCTTATAACAGATGAACGGCGTACAACTATTAAACTGTCTGAGTATATCAAATTAGTTGCAGGTGATTGTAAAAACCTTATTTAAGACAAGAGAAATTAAATCATTCTTTTGATGAAAAAGGCAAATGTTTTATAATGTCTACTTTTAATTCTATAAATGGACCATTAAGACTAAATATAATGTGTTGATGGTTTGTAGCATCTGTTGTTGTGATTGGCTGTCAAGGTGAATAATTGACTAATCAAATAATTGATAACACAGGATACTGTATTAAATTCTTACATTGTTAACATTGAGTAGATTGTTTTGTATCTAAATAAAATAAATATCTACCAGTATTCAATAATCTCGGAAGCTTAAAGGTTTTAACCTACATTGTTTTTCATTCAGATTGAGGACAAAACTTGTATTTTCTTCTGCCACTTTCAGAGTTATCTTTCGTTGTGGCAAACTGGAAAATTATTTTCTTTTCTGACACCCCACTCCCCACCCACACAGAAAGTATTTCTATGACACCTGCAATTAATTTTTAACAAATTAAATTTGGAATTTTAATATGTTTAAAATTTAATTAGGTTTAAAATCATAACATAGGATGCCAGCCATTTATTAATTGTAGTGGGGTTGGGTGGCCAAATGGTTAAACACATGCACTTTAGATCATAAGGTTTGTCAATATGTCAAGTGCATGGCTTTAATTCCCCACCTGTACATGACCAAGAGTACAATTGCCTGTCCAACCTTGTGGTTTCCTCCCACTGCTAAAGACCCTGTACAACATGCAAGCAAATTATTGAAAAAGTATTGCACCATATGTTAGTCCCAAAATGACCTAGTTTGTGTCGAGTGGATGCTAAAATCCATTTCTCTCTCTCTCTTCATTATTTGTGTGAATGTAAAAGGAAATATATTTCAACTTTCTGGCATCATATTTTATTTTAGAAACATGAATAATTGTCTTTGTTTTAAATGTTTATTTGAAATTAAACAACAAAGTTGTGATTGACTTAGCCAGGTGTTAACAGGCAACAGGTGTTATAAAATTTGATATAGTGAGAAAATAGAATATTGACCTCAATAACTATTTGAAGAGGTCAAGATGTATGTGTGTCAGTTTAAACTTTGAAAGCTGATTTGAAGATGCAATTTCTTCTTTATACTTTGTTGCTTACTTTTGACAAACTTTTATTTTCTACTGAATAGCTGGAAAAAAAGATTTAAATTAAAAACAATTAAAAACTTTCTGCCGTTCATATGCATTTACTCAAACTTTTTTATACATTTTTAGAGCAAATAATGATATGTGTTCACAATGCTAAATAAAGTTATGAAAATCGTGCATCTGTCACCAGTTAAGGTATGCCTAATAGACAGGCTGCATAACTGACCCCAAAACAAGCAATATTAGAAACAGAGCACAGACAATTCAAAAAGTCCAGTGAGTGTAAAATGTAGAAATTGTTTTAGGATATATAGAGAATCTCCTACCAGTCTTTTTTGATATCAAAAAAGACGAGTAGGAGATTTTATTTATCACCCAATCCCTTCTTACATGCACAAATAGATAAATATAATTCTTTGCTGTAGATTTCACTTTTGTGAACATTATGGCGTAGTGATACATCATTTTTTGACAGCAATTCATTGCAAAGTCCTTTATATTGACCCAGTGTTTCCAAGGTCAATTGAATATCAATAGTTCATTTTTAATAAAAAAAAAAAGTTACTTTTAATAAGAAATGAACTGTTCATTGAAAATAAAATAAAGTAGTTCCTTTTCAACTGACCAATCAAATTCATGTAAAGCGATATCTCCTAAGGAGATATCACAGTAGATTATGAAATATATCACACAAGCGATATCTACTGTAGAATGTATTATTGGGTGATAAACCACAATAAACTGAATATAAAACTTGCAGTTGCCTATGTAAATCTGCCACAGGTAAGTGTAGTGACAAGTGTATTCAGATGTTCTGAAAAGAGTAAAGCATACCCTGTGTTTGGCAGAACACCACACTAAAACTTTAGATTAAAACTGTTAATAATAAGTGCAGGGAGACTGCACCACACACAAACAAATATACAAGACAAATCTATGGACAATATACAGACATAACAAACAACAAACGTTCATATCAGATCATGTGAATGGATCGGCGGCTAGCCGTAAGCATCCACTGCGCTGTACAGTCCCATGCCTGTAGTGATACAGACTTCACTCAAAATTAAAAACGAACTAATAATAAGAGAATATTTCCGAAAGGTTGTATGATACTAGTGTGAGTCATGATCAGCTACATACTACATGAAATATGAAATATAAATGTAGGCACATGTAGTCAATGATAGAATTTGATATTAAAGTACCAGACTTAGTAACAAATTGTAATATTGTCTGCAGCATACAATTTTCACCATTGCTTCACTTTGGGAAATCATTTTCTGAACTAAATTCAACTTTAGTTAAGATATGGAATACAAAGATTTGTTTATAAATCTCACAAGGGGAAGGAAAATAAACATAAGATCTCGCATGATCAAAGTAGGTTAGATCTTGTGACGAATAAAATATCTCATTTAAAAGCTTTTTCATTCTAATTTGGCATAAATAATATTTACTCAAATCAGTTTACATTAGAATACAAACAAAATTTGAATAGGACAACAAACTATCTAATGCTGATCTATAACCACTCCCATTTAAATAACTTGTTTTGTTCTTAGTAAAACAATTTCAGTTTTTATGTTAAACTTGATTGAGATCCACACTCTGTTATTAAAGAAATACAATTCTAGATATCTGAAACATGTTAGAAATAATATACTTTCAATTAAAGCTATTACTAGAACTGTAACATTCTTAATAAAATAAATCTGTGCTTATGATTTGGGAAATAAACTTTCTACAGTCATTGTCGTTCAAAAATTTTCTTAGAGGAAAATGAAAGCTTAACATATTGTACTACAAAATAAATAAAACCTCCCTGGCTGCCATCTTGTATCAACAATTGACCCAACCAATAAAAATATTTCTTACGTCAACAGAAGGGGATTTAACCAATTAACATATTGTTACTAAAAACAATAGAGATACCCTACACCTTAGGAAAAACTTGATTCTTGGGAAGTACTTGTCAATTTTTTTGTGAAACAAATGATATTACTCTTATGAAAGAGTATGATAGTTTATTTCTTACTCATAACGCTAAAGTTATGTCCTCATACATTATTCTATAGTTTCTTTCTACTGTTATATTTAAGTTTATTTCCGAAAACAGAATTTTGGTTTGACAGCTGATGCACATTATCCCTTTAAAGGGCTACTTCTACCTCTTGATATTTTAATCTACACAAAAAAAACAATAACGTAATATTGAAGTTATCACCGTGAGAATCATTGAATAATAGTTATCATTGCAACGTATTTTTCAAATAAAGTGTAAAAATTACATGTAAATTAGAATTTGGCAGTTGAGGAGATCAGATCTTAACCTGTAATAAGACCTGTTTGTTTTCATATGTTGATCCCAAGTATATGTTCTAATTGGTTTGTGGAATTTAGTTACATCAGATTTCTTCTTGCTAATTGGACCATTACAAAGGTTATACAATTCTTGGCAGTGATCTTAGTTTTTAATACCCTGGTTGAAAAAAAGATTGTAACCAAGACATTTTGTTCATTTAAATTTGTATCATTGATTTTCAAGCCATCTCATTTACTTTGCATTGTTTGATCCACACAGATATTATTTGCTTGATAAAAGCTGTAAAAATCCTAGTTGAAACATTGGTCAGTAATAAACACATTATATATTTGTTCACTGTGTTTAGTTGTCCAGATGGTGTATAAAGCAAGAAAAACTGTGTATTAGTCTTAAAATGACTCTAGTAGAGAATTATTAAGACTTTCGCCTTGCAATTTGATAAAAGATATATATAACCCTGTCTGTGTTCATGCTGGATTTCCCTTTTCTAGCAATCATTTTGAACGACACACTAAAAAAATGCGAAAAACCATGTGATCCCAATTGTCTATTCACTAGTCTCATTCTATGTGTCTATGACTAGTCTCTGTCTATGGTTGTATGCTGTCTGACTTACCATGTTTTTATTTTGTAAATTTTAGCCAGGTGTGCCGCTATTTTTTTTTATATGTTCCAAAGTGTGCCGTTGCCAAAAAAAGTTTGAGAACCACTGCCCTAAACAGTTGCCATACATGTTTTCAGTTTGTAGAACAAACATGGCTACTGATTACAGCGTAAAAAAAAAGAGGCAGGCCACACCACATCCAGTATATTCCTTGTCAAGCACAGTGTCCACATCCAGTTAGCTATTCAACTACCAATTACCTATACTGACTTATGTTTTTTTCACTATCA